TCTCTGCGGTGGAAGTTTGGATCTCTGCGGTGGAAGTTTGGATCTTTGCGGTGGAAGTTTGGATCTTTGAGGTGGAAGTTTGGATCTCTGCGGTGGAAGTTTGAATCTCTGCGGTGGAAGTTTGGATCTTTGAGGTGGAAGTTTGGATCTCTACGGTGGAAGTTTGGATCTTTGAGGTGGAAGTTTGGATCTCTGCGGTGGAAGTTTGGATCTCTGCGGTGGAAGTTTGGATCTCTGCGGTGGAAGTTTGGATCTCTGCGGTGGAAGTTTGAATCTCTGCGGTGGAAGTTTGGATCTCTGCGGTGGAAGTTTGGATCTCTGCGGTGGAAGTTTGAATCTCTGCGGTGGAAGTTTTGGATCTCTGCGGTGGAAGTTTGAATCTCTGCGATGGAAGTTTGGATCTTTGCGGTGGAAGTTTGGATCTCGCGGTGGAAGTTTGGATCTCTGCGGTGGAAGTTTGGATCTCTGCGGTGGAAGTTTGGATCTCGAGATGGAAGTTTGGATCTTTGCGGTGGAAGTTTGAATCTCTGCGATGGAAGTTTGGATCTTTGCGGTGGAAGTTTGGATCTTTGCGGTGGAAGTTTGGATCTCTGCGGTGGAAGTTTGGATCTCTGCGGTGGAAGTTTGGATCTCTGCGGTGGAAGTTTGGATCTCTGCGGTGGAAGTTTGGATCTCTGCGGTGGAAGTTTGGATCTCTGCGGTGGAAGTTTGGATCTCTGCGGTGGAAGTTTGGATCTCTGCGGTGGAAGTTTGGATCTCGCGGTGGAAGTTTGGATCTCGCGGTGGAAGTTTGGATCTCTGCGGTGGAAGTTTGGATCTCGCGGTGGAAGTTTGGATCTGTGCGGTGGAAGTTTGGATCTCGCGGTGGAAGTTTGGATCTCTGCGGTGGAAGTTTGGATCTCTCTGCGGTGGAAGTTTGGATCTCTGCGGTGGAAGTTTGGATCTCTGCGATGGAAGTTTGGATCTTTGCGGTGGAAGTTTGGATCTCTGCGGTGGAAGTTTGGATCTCTGCGGTGGAAGTTTGTATCTTTGCGGTGGAAGTTTGGATCTCTGCGGTGGAAGTTTGGATCTCGCGGTGGAAGTTTGGATCTCTGCGGTGGAAGTTTGTATCTTTGCGGTGGAAGTTTGTATCTCTGCGATGGAAGTTTGGATCTCGCGGTGGAAGTTTGGATCTCTGCGGTGGAAGTTTGGATCTCTGCGGTGGAAGTTTGGATCTCGCGGTGGAAGTTTGGATCTCGCGGTGGAAGTTTGGATCTCTGCGGTGGAAGTTTGGATCTCGCGGTGGAAGTTTGGATCTGTGCGGTGGAAGTTTGGATCTCGCGGTGGAAGTTTGGATCTCTGCGGTGGAAGTTTGGATCTCTGCGGTGGAAGTTTGGATCTCTGCGGTGGAAGTTTGGATCTCTGCGATGGAAGTTTGGATCTTTGCGGTGGAAGTTTGGATCTCGCGGTGGAAGTTTGGATCTCTGCGGTGGAAGTTTGGATCTCGCGATGGAAGTTTGAGTCTCGGAATAGATTCCGCCGACATTCCCGAAAGAAACAATATTTGTGTAACCTCGGCCCGGAGAACACGCATGCCTCCATCTTATGTTCATTGGCAGTACGTCGGGGACATGGTGGCAGCGGGGGACGCCTCACTCTGCTTGGGGAGTCAGGAATGTCTCTCATTGGACGGTCAGGATCGTTGGGGGTCACATTTCTGCACAAGAATTTGGGAAATGTTACACCATGACGGCCAAGAATGACTACAGCTCTGTTATCACTGCAATGCTGAGCTCTGGTGTGTGCGGGACCCCCGGAGATGGGGGGAGGGGGGCAAGAGTGAAGAAGGGGCTGCTATTGCTGACCTCCTCAAAATGAGAGATTCCCCCCTGTTGTTCTGGACCCCCCCTCCCCCCCACTCATTAAAGTGTATGTCCACCCTAACAATGAACTTCTCGTTTGTTGCCTTTCAGTCTGAGATTATCCCATTCAAACATATTTGTTGGATAACTGAAAACGTACCTGTTGATCCTGCCAGAAATCTTGTGAGAGAACTTCCTGTGCCCTGTGCTGCACCATCATCATTCTGAATTCTTTCTGACAACTACCGAACACCTTCCCCCATTTTATTGAGGAGAGAAGGAGATGTTCTGTAGTCCTAACACACACTATATTGCCCCAAGTATTGGGCCGCTGGCCTTCCCCCACACATGACCTTTCATGGCCTTCCAGTCTTAGTCTGTAGGGTTCAATATTGAGTTGACCCCGCCCTTTCCCCCACACATGACCTTTCATGGCCTTCCAGTCTTAGTCTGTAGGGTTCAATATTGAGTTGGCCCCGCCCTTTCCACGCACATTACCTTTAATGGCCTCCCAGTCTTAGTCCGTAGGGTTCAATATTGAGTTGGCCCCGCCCTTTCCCCCGCACATGACCTGTAATGGCCCTCCCAGTCTTAGTCCGTAGGGTTCAATATTGAGTTGGCCCCGCCCTTTCCCCCGCACATGACCTGTAATGGCCCTCCCAGTCTTAGTCCTTAGGGTTCAATATTGAGTTGGCCCCGCCCTTTTCCCCGCACATAACCTGTAATGGCCCCCAGTCTTAGTCCGTAGGGTTCAATATTGAGTTGACCCCGCCCTTTACCCCGCACATGACCTGTAATGGCCCTCCTAGTCTTGGTCCGTAGGGTTCAATATTGAGTTGGCCCCGCCCTTTCCACACACATGACCTTTAATGGCCCCCCAGTCTTAGTCCGTAGGGTTCAATATTGAGTTGGCCCCGCCCTTTCCCCCCCACACATGACCTGTAATGGCCCCCCAGTCTTAGTCCGTAGGGTTCAATATTGAGTTGGCCCCGCCCTTTCCACGCACATGACCTTTAATGCCTCCCCAGTCTTAGTCCGTAGGGTTCAATATTGAGTTGGCCCCGCCCTTTCCACACACATGACCTTTAATGGCCCCCCAGTCTTAGTCCGTAGGGTTCAATATTGAGTTGGCCCCGCCCTTTCCACGCACATGACCTTTAATGCCTCCCCAGTCTTAGTCCGTAGGGTTCAATATTGAGTTGGCCCCGCCCTTTCCACGCACATGACCTTTAATGGCCTCCCAGTCTTAGTCCGTAGGGTTCAATATTGAGATGGCCCCGCCCTTCATCCCCCCCGCACATGACCTGTAATGGCCCTCCCAGTCTTAGTCCGTAGGGTTCAATATTGAGTTGGCCCCGCCCTTTCCCCGCACATGACCTGTAATGGCCCTCCCAGTCTTAGTCCTTAGGGTTCAATATTGAGTTGGCCCCGCCCTTTTCCCCGCACATAACCTGTAATGGCCCCCAGTCTTAGTCCGTAGGGTTCAATATTGAGTTGACCCCGCCCTTTACCCCGCACATGACCTGTAATGGCCCTCCTAGTCTTGGTCCGTAGGGTTCAATATTGAGTTGGCCCCGCCCTTTCCACACACATGACCTTTAATGGCCCCCCAGTCTTAGTCCGTAGGGTTCAATATTGAGTTGGCCCCGCCCTTTCCCCCCCACACATGACCTGTAATGGCCCCCCAGTCTTAGTCCGTAGGGTTCAATATTGAGTTGGCCCCGCCCTTTCCACGCACATGACCTTTAATGCCTCCCCAGTCTTAGTCCGTAGGGTTCAATATTGAGTTGGCCCCGCCCTTTCCACACACATGACCTTTAATGGCCCCCCAGTCTTAGTCCGTAGGGTTCAATATTGAGTTGGCCCCGCCCTTTCCACGCACATGACCTTTAATGCCTCCCCAGTCTTAGTCCGTAGGGTTCAATATTGAGTTGGCCCCCCGCCCTTTCCACGCACATGACCTTTAATGCCTCCCCAGTCTTAGTCCGTAGGGTTCAATATTGAGTTGGCCCCGCCCTTTCCACACACATGACCTTTAATGGCCCCCCAGTCTTAGTCCGTAGGGTTCAATATTGAGTTGGCCCCGCCCTTTCCACGCACATGACCTTTAATGCCTCCCCAGTCTTAGTCCGTAGGGTTCAATATTGAGTTGGCCCCGCCCTTTGCCTCTTCTGTGAAGGCCGTCCACAAGGTTTAGGAGGGTGTCTATGGGAAGGTTGGACCATTCTTCCAGAAGCACATTTGTCAGGTCAGGCACTGATGTCGGGGGAGGGGCACTGATGTCGGGGGAGGGGCACTGATGTCGGGGGAGGAGGCCTGGCTCGCAGTCTCCGCTCTAATTCATCCCAAAGGTGTTCTATGGGGTTGAGGTCAGGACTCTGTGCAGGACAGTCAAGTTCCTCCACCCCAAACTGGCTCCTCCATGTCTTTATGGACCTTGCTTTGTGCACTGGGGGGCAGTCATGTTGGAACAGGAAGGGGCCATCCCCAAACTCCTCCCACAAAGTTGGGGGCATGAAATTGTCCAAAATGTCGCCTTAAGAGTTCCCTTCACTGGAACTAGGGGGCCAAGCCCACCCCTGAAAAACAACTCCACCCCATAATCCCCCTCCACCAAACTGTACACTTGGCACAATGCAGTCAGGCAAGTATCATTCTCCCGGCCACAGCCAAACCCAGACATGTCCATCGGATGGCCAGACAGAGAAGTGTGATTGGTCACTCCGGAGAACACGTCTCCCCTGCTCTAGAGTCCAGTGGCGGCGTGCTTTACACCACGGCATCCGACGCTTTGCATTGCACTTGGTGATGGAAGGCTTGGATGCAGCTGCTCGGCCATGGAAACCCATTCCATGAAGCTCTCTACACACTGTTGTTGGGCTCATCTGAAGGCCACACCAAGTTTGGAGGTCTTTAGCTATTGACTCTGCAGACAGTTGGTGACTTCTGCGCACTGTGCGCTTCAGCATGCGCTGACCCCGCCCTGTCATGTGACGTGGCCTACCACTTGGTGGCTGAGTGGCTGTTGTTCCCAGTGGCTTCCACTTTGTTATAATCCCACTAACAGTTGAGCGTGGAATATTTTAGTAGCCAGGAAATGTCACGGATGGACTTATTGCCCAGATGGCCACCTATCACGGGACCACGCTTGGAGTCACTGAGCTCCTGAGAGCGACCCATTCTTTCACCAATGTTTGTAGAAGCCGTCTGCATGCCTAGGGGCTTGATTGTATACACCTGTGTCCATGGAGGGGATTGGAACACCTGAATCACATGATATGGAGGGGATTGGAGCACCTGAATCACATGATATGGAGGGGATTGGGACACCTGAATCATATGATTGGGAGGGGATTGGGAAACCTGAATCACATGATATGGAGGGGATTGGAACACCTGAATCAACAGGCAGTATCAACAGGTACAATTAGTGGAAAAAAGTTCTGAACAATGATGGTGTCAGTGGGAGGAATAGTGCCCCATCATTGGTGTCAGTGGGAGGAATAGTGCCCCATCATTGGTGTCAGTGGGAGGAATAGTGCCCCATCATTGGTGTCAGTGGGAGGAGTAGTGCCCCATCGTTGATGTCAGTGGGAGGAATAGTGCCCCATCATTGGTGTCAGTGGGAGGAATAGTGCCCCATCGTTGGTGTCAGTGGGGGGAATAGTGCCCCATCGTTGGTGTCAGTGGGAGGAATAGTGCCCCATCGTTGGTGTCAGTGGGAGGAATAGTGCCCCATCGTTGGTGTCAGTGGGAGGAATAGTGCCCCATCGTTGGTGTCAGTGGGAGGAATAGTGCCCCATCGTTGGTGTCAGTGGGAGGAATAGTGCCCCATCATTGGTGTCAGTGGGAGGAATAGTGCCCCATCGTTGGTGTCAGTGGGAGGAGTAGTGCCCCATCGTTGATGTCAGTGGGGGGAATAGTGCCCCATCATTGGTGTCAGTGGGAGGAATAGCGTCCCATCATTGGTGTCAGTGGGAGGAATAGCGCCCCATCATTGGTGTCAGTGGGAGGAATAGCGCCCCATCATTGGTGTCAGTGGGAGGAATAGCGCCCCATCATTGGTGTCAGTGGGAGGAATAGTGCCCCATCATTGGTGTCAGTGGGAGGAATAGTGTCCCATCATTGGTGTCAGTGGGAGGAATAGCGTCCCATCATTGGTGTCAGTGGGAGGAATAGCGCCCCATCATTGGTGTCAGTGGGAGGAATAGCGCCCCATCATTGGTGTCAGTGGGAGGAATAGCGCCCCATCATTGGTGTCAGTGGGAGGAATAGCGCCCCATCATTGGTGTCAGTGGGAGGAATAGCGCCCCATCATTGGTGTCAGTGGGAGGAATAGTGCCCTATCATTGGTGTCAGTGGGAGGAATAGCGTCCCATCATTGGTGTCAGTGGGAGGAATAGCGCCCCATCATTGGTGTCAGTGGGGGGAATAGCGCCCCATCATTGGTGTCAGTGGGAGGAATAGTGCCCCATCATTGGTATCAGTGGAGGAATAGTGCCCCATCATTGGTGTCAGTGGGAGGAATAGTGCCCCATCATTGGTGTCAGTGGGGGGAATAGTGTCCCATCATTGGTGTCAGTGGGAGGAATAGTGCCCCATCATTGGTATCAGTGGGAGGAATAGTGTCCCATCATTGGTGTCAGTGGGAGGAATAGTGCCCCATCATTGGTGTCAGTGGAGGAATAGTGCCCCATCATTGGTGTCAGTGGGAGCCACTGAGCCACTAACAGCTGCCTCTGGGGGCCAATCAACAAACATCCATTTTTTTTTGTATTTTGGGTTTTTATTTTTTTATGACGTTGAGTATACAGACTCCAAGTGTATTAACCCACACAGGGGAAGAACAAACATACCACATGCAATATCATGTGACTGACAGTAGTGAGGGCTGTTATATCGGGGAGCCTGGCTGGGAGATGGAAATATCTGCCCCATAACCAGGAGGAGGAGCCCCGGGCCGGGCAGATTGTGGAACTAATAGATTTACTTCTGTTTAATCTCCCCCCCCTCCTCCCTTTTTTTCCCCATGCCCCCCCTTTTCCCCCTTGTCCCTGCCCTTTTCCCCCTTGTCCCTGCCCATGTTTTTTTTCCCCCTTGTCCCTGCCCTTTACCCCCTTGTCCCTGCCCTTTACCCCCTTGTCTCTGCCCTTTTCCCCCTTGTCCCGCCCTTTTCCCCCTTGTTCCGCCCTTTTTCCCCCTTGTCCCGCCCTTTTCCCCTTGTCCCGCCCTTTTCCCCCTTGTTCCGCCCTTTTCCCCCTTGTCCCGCCCTTTTCCCCCTTGTCCCGCCCTTTTCCCCCTTGTCCCTGCCCTTTTCCCCCTTGTCCCGACCTTTCCCCCTTGTCCCGACCTTTCCCCCTTGTCCCGACCTTTCCCCCTTGTCCCTGCCCTTTCCCCCTTGTCCCTGCCCTTTCCCCTTTTCCCCCTTGTCCCTGCCCTTTCCCCTTTTCCCCCTTGTCCCTGCCCTTTCCCCTTTTCCCCCCTTGTCCCTGCCCTTTTTCCCCCTTATCCCTGCCCTTTTCCCTCTTGTCCCTTCCCTTTTCCCCCTTGTCCCTTCCCTTTTCCCCCTTGTCCCTCCCTTTTCCCCCCCTTTCCCCTTGTTCCGCCCTTTCCCCCTTGTCCCTGCCCTTTCCCCCTTGTCCCTGCCCTTTCCCCCTTGTCCCTGCCCTTTCCCCCCCTTGTCCCTGCCCTTTCCCCCCTTGTCCCTGCCCTTTCCCCCTTGTCCCTTCCCTTTTCCCCCTTTTCCCGCCCTTTCCCCCTTGTCCCTGCCCTTTCCCCCTTGTCCCGCCCTTTTCCCCTTGTCCCTCCCTTTTCCCCCCCTTTCCCCTTGTCCCTCCGTTTTCCCCCCCCCCCCCTTACCCCTTTTCCCCCCCCTTTCCCCCCCCTTTTCCCCCCCCTTTCCCCCCCTTTCCCCCCCTTTCCCCCCCTTTTCCCCCCTTTCCCCCCCTTTTCCCCCCCTTTCCCCCCCCTTTCCCCTTGTCCCTCCCTTTTCCCCCCCTTTCCCCTTGTTCCGCCCTTTCCCGCTTGTTCCGCCCTTTCCCCCTTGTCCCTGCCCTTTCCCCTTGTCCCCGCCCTTTCCCCCTTGTCCCGCCCTTTCCCCCTTGTCCCCGCCCTTTCCCCCTTGTCCCCGCCCTTTCCCCCTTGTCCCCGCCCTTTCCCCCTTGTCCCGCCCTTTCCCCCTTGTTCCGCCCTTTCCCCCTTGTCCCGCCCTTTCCCCCTTGTCCCGCCCTTTCCCCCTTGTCCCTGCCCTTTCCCCTTGTCCCCGCCCTTTCCCCCTTGTCCCCGCCCTTTCCCCCTTGTCCCCGCCCTTTCCCCCTTGTCCCCGCCCTTTCCCCCCTTGTCCTTGCCCTTTCCCCCTTGTCCCCGCCCTTTCCCCCTTGTCCCGCCCTTTCCCCCTTGTCCCGCCCTTTCCCCCTTGTTCCGCCCTTTCCCCCTTGTCCCGCCCTTTCCCCCTTGTCCCGCCCTTTCCCCCTTGTCCCTGCCCTTTCCCCTTGTCCCCGCCCTTTCCCCCTTGTCCCGCCCTTTCCCCCCTTGTCCCGCCCTTTCCCCCTTGTCCTTGCCCTTTCCCCCTTGCCCTTTCCCCCTTGTTCCGCCCTTTCCCCCTTGTCCCGCCCTTTCCCCTTGTCCCTCCCTCTCCCCCTTGTCCCTCCCTCTCCCCCTTGTCCCGCCCTTTCCCCTTGTCCCTCCCTCTTGCTCTGGTTCTGAACTCTTCATCACCCCAATAAATCCAGTGAACAGAATGGGCCGCTCACTTACTGCCCCGAAGGACAGGAGACCCGCACGGGCCGGCGTCTGCAGCTCCCATCCCCCCCCTGCAGCATTGTTGCCCTCCAGCATCAGATGGAAGCGGAGAGCTGTGAATGGAGGGATGATCTGAGTGGGGGGGGGGATGTCACGTTGATTGTGGTCTGGCTGGCTGCCAGCTCCTGAGTCTGACCGACAGTTGAACCGTACGGTGAAGGCGTGTATTACAGCGCAGAACTTGTCCCGCCGCCAACAAGTACACATCCCGAGGGCGAAAGTTTATGGAGAGTTGAGGCCGAGCTATTAACCCCCTCACGCTGGCTGTAATGTACACTGGAGCTTTACCCCCCCCCCCCCGTCCTTCCAATTACTGGCAGACCAATCACAGGGGTGCGTTCCAGATCTGCCGCGCTCCTCGCCGCCCGCCAACAATGATTTTTCCAATTTCTCGCCGTTAGGCAGCCAAGAGATGCGTCGGGTTATTCTCTGCGGTTCTCTGGGAGCCGTCATGGAGGAAAACGTTTTCTGGAGGAACTCGGCTCACCGCAGGACCGGCGACCTCCGCGCCATTTACATGAATCTCGCCGTGTGACTCCGGAACAACGCACCGCGGCCGGGGACACCGCCATCCCCATTGCTGCCCCCGCCTAAACCTTGCTGGCAGCAGAAACTTCTAGAGCCGGTACAATATATTCTTCTGCAAGATCTGTTCATCAGTCAAACTCCATGCAGGGATAAACCACTTCATTCCATCAGCCAAACTCCATGCAGACATAAACCACTTCACTCCACCAGCCAAACTCCATGCAGACAAACCACTTAGATCCATCAGCCAAACTCCATGCAGGGATAAACCACTTCACTCCGTCAGCCAAACTCCATGCAGACATAAACCACTTCACTCCATCAGCCAAACTCCATGCAGGCATAAACCACTTCACTCCGTCAGCCAAACTCCATGCAGACATAAATCCTACTTCACCCCATCAGCCCAACTCCATGCAGACATAAACCACTTCACCCCATCAGCCAAATTCCATGCAGACATAAACCACTTCATTCCATCAGCCCAACTCCATGCAGACATAAATCCTACTTCACCCCATCAGCCCAACTCCATGCAGACAAAAACCACTTCACTCCGTCAGCCAAACTCCATGCAGACATAAACCACTTCACCCCATCAGCCCAACTCCATGCAGACATAAATCCTACTTCACCCCATCAGCCCAACTCCATGCAGACATAACCCCCACTTCATGCAGTTGTGTTTTCATTCACATGTATCTCTACAATTTACATGCAGCTATTGTAAGAACCTGAATCTGTGTTCATATCATCCTCTGCACAGCAGACTGAGAGAGGGAGGGGCAACAACAGCAGCCAATCAGGTGTGCTGCATTTACACGTGCTGACAGGAGGATCAGAGAGAGCAGGTAATGACTCAGGCTGCAGGTAGCGGTCTATTGAAGTGCTGTCCCCATCCTGGCTGCACTGCCTGGCAGAGGTAAAAAAAAGTCAGAAAACCGGCCGGGCAGAATAACAAATCATTCAGCAGATAAAACCAAACAAGTGTCCTCACTGAGGCCCTTTACCTGGAGTTCCGCTTTAATCTGACCCCCAGCCCCACTCCCACCTACTGACTCCTCCCCTTCAGTCTTGCACAGGTGTATCGGCTCCTCCCCTTCAGTCTTGCACAGGTGTACCTGCTCCTCCCCTTCAGTCTTGCACAGGTGTATCGGCTCCTCCCCTTCAGTCTTGCACAGGTGTATCGGCTCCTCCCCTTCAGTCTTGCACAAGTGTAACGGCTCCTCCCCTTCAGTCTTGCACAAGTATATCGGCTCCTCCCCTTCAGTCTTGCACAGGTGTATCGGCTCCTCCCTTCAGTCTTGCACAGGTGTATCGGCTCCTCCCCTCCAGTCTTGCACAAGTGTAACGGCTCCTCCCCTTCAGTCTTGCACAGGTGTATCGGCTCCTCCCCTTCAGTCTTGCACAGGTGTACCGGCTCCTCCCCTTCAGTCTTGCACAGGTGTATCGGCTCCTCCCCTCCAGTCTTGCACAAGTATATCGGCTCCTCCCCTTCAGTCTTGCACAAGTGTAACAGCTCCTCCCCTTCAGTCTTGCACAGGTGTATCGGCTCCTCCCCTTCAGTCTTGCACAGGTGTACTGGCTCCTCCCCTTCAGTCTTGCACAGGTGTACCGGCTCCTCCCCTTCAGTCTTGCACAGGTGTACCGGCTCCTCCCCTTCAGTCTTGCACAGGTGTATCGGCTCCTCCCCTTCAGTCTTGCACAGGTATACCGGCTCCTCCCCTTCAGTCTTGCACAGGTGTACCGGCTCCTCCCCTTCAGTCTTGCACAGGTGTACCGGTTCCTCCCCTTCAGTCTTGCACAGGTGTACCGGCCCCTCCCCTTCAGTCTTGCACAGGTGTATCGGCTCCTCCCCTTCAGTCCTGCACAGGTGTATCGGCTCCTCCCCTTCAGTCCTGCACAGGTGTATCGGCTCCTCCCCTTCAGTCTTGCACAGGTGTACCGGCTCCTCCCCTTCAGTCTTGCACAGGTGTAGCGGCTCCTCCCCTTCAGTCTTGCACAGGTGTAGCGGCTCCTCCCCTTCAGTCTTGCACAGGTGTAGCAGCTCCTCCCCTTCAGTCTTGCACAGGTGTACTGGCTCCTCCCCTTCAGTCTTGCACAGGTGTATCGGCCCCTCCCCTTCAGTCTTGCACAGGTGTACCGGCTCCTCCCCTTCAGTCTTGCACAGGTGTACCGGCTCCTCCCCTTCAGTCTTGCACAGGTGTACCGGCTCCTCCCCTGGACTGGAATGTCTTCCTCTGATGTCACTGCACACTGGGAGCATCTCACAATGTGCATTAGAAGCTGCAGCAAGTCAGATAGAGCTCCGCCCCATTTCCTGGCTGGAGGACGCCCAGCATCATCTAGCTATTTTATCCCAGCTTGTCTCTGGTCCCGCCCTTTCATTCATTAGAGCCCGCCTCATTTCCTGAGTGGAGGACGCCCAGCATCATCTAGCGCTTTTTCTCCACAGCCTGACTGTCCTTTTCATTCATTGGAGGCTCAGCATCACTATGTAAATGCAGCCTGCCTAGGAACACCCACTCTTCCAGACTGACACCCGCCCATCAAGGCATTTTGATATTTGCATAACTCCTCCCACTTCTTGCAGCAGGACTGCGGGCCTCGGAGAGGACTTCCTTATACTTCAACCATGCAAGGAAAACAATCGAATGTTGGCAACAGACATTGGAGGTCATCCAGACGTACAATCTGCCCAACCTCAGGGCCCACGGCGGGGCCAAGCGTTCTGTTCATGATTCAGCTACAGGTGACTTCTGTAGAGAACAGAACGGGGAACAATTGGGGTCACAGCAGGTATTCTGACCCCCAACACATTGCCCCCCCGACATTGGCCAGATGAGTAGTGCCAACAGATGTGAGATCACAATCTTTAGATGAAGAAGTCATGGCAGCCGCAGATGTTTGATAATCCAGACAGAGAGGTCTTCTTACATAGAAAAGCTGCAATAGGGTACCAAAGGTGTGAGGTGAGGAGACCCCATTCATAGAGCACCCCCTCCCCCAGGCACTGCTGACCTCAGTTGCTTGGGGGAAGTAGTAATCAGGTTATGAAGTTATTTTCTCCTTTGGTGCAATGTTGCTGGAGGTCTTCAACATTCCACTACCGCCCCTCTCCATGGATCTAAACCCAACCAAGCTCCTTCAATGTGCTTCACACCTGACCTCTGTGTATGTATCTCAGGAGGAACCGTGCCGGACATACTTACACTGTACTTCTGTCCCCGGAAATACAAATTCCGCTCATTTCCTACAAGAAACCTCGATAAATAAAGAACAGGTACTGATCATGTGACCACAAACCTCAGTCTTCCATGTTGTGCTCCAGGGCTGGAGGCAGAGTGAAAGCCACAGCATCTGGCCACCACCGCTGTCATCTTCAGCAGAAAGTCAAAGCCTTCAGAGCAGGCCAGGAGGTGTGCTGGATGCCGGGAGGTGTGCTGGCTGCCGGGAGGTGTGCTGGATGCCGGGAGGTGTGCTGGATGCCGGGAGGTGTGCTGGATGCCGGGAGGTGTGATGGATTCTGAGAGCTGTGATAGATGCCAGGAGGTATGATGGATTCCGGGAGGTGTGTGTGGACACAGGGAGGTATGATGGATGCTGGGAGGTGTGATGGATTCCAAGAAGTATTATGGATGCCGGAGTGTGTGATGGATTCTGAGAGGTGTGATAAATGCCAGGAGGTATGATGGATTCCAGGAGGTGTGGTGGACGCCGGGAGGTGTGGTGGACGCCGGGAGGTGTGGTGGACGCCGGGAGGTGTGGTGGACGCCGGGAGGTGTGGTGGACACCGGGAGGTGTGGTGGACGCCGGGAGGTATGATGAATTCCAAGAAGTATGATGGTTGCTGGGAGATATAATGGATTCTGAGAGGTGTGATAGATGCCGTGAGGTGTGGTGGACGTCGGGAGGTATGATCGATTCCAGGAGGTGTGGTGGACGTCAGGAGGTATGATGGATTCCAGGAGGTATGATGGATTCCAGGAGGTGTGGTGGACGCCGGGAGGTGTGTTGGACGTCGGAAGGTATGATGGATTCCAGGAGGTATGATGGCTTCCAGGAGGTGTGGTGGACGCCTGGAGGTGTGGTGGACGCCGGGAGGTGTGGTGGACGCCGGGAGGTGTGGTGGACGCCGGGAGGTGTGGTGGACGCCGGGAGGTGTGGTGGACGCCGGGAGGTGTGGTGGACGCCGGGAGGTGTGGTGGACGCCGGGAGGTGTGGTGGACGCCGGGAGGTGTGGTGGATTCCGGGAGGTGTGGTGGATGCCGGGAGGTGCGGTGGACGTCAGGAGATATGATCGATTCCAGGAGGTGTGGTGGATGCCGGGAGGTGTGGTGGACGCCTGATGAATGCCAGGAGGTATGATGGATTCCAGGAGGTGTGGTGGATGCCTGGAGGTGTGGTGGACGCCGGGAGGTGTGGTGGACGCCTGATGAATGCCGGGAGGTATGATGGATTCCAGGAGGTGTGGTGGATGCCGGGAGGTGTGATGGATGTTGGGAGATATGATAGATGTTGGGAGATATGATGAATGCCAAGATGTATGATGGATGCCTGGAGGTATGATGGGTGCTGAGAGGTATGATGGATACCTGTGATGTCACAAGCTGGTTGCAGTCCCAGAGTGGGGGTGGGCACACTGGACTGACAACACAACAGGAGACTGTAGATTGCGTGGTCACCTGTGTGCAGAAAGCGGTAGATACTGGCAGGATCAACAGATATTCTACGGCACTTATAAGACCTCTACTAATAACTGCTAAGTCAGCAAGGTACCAAAAAAGTTGAGGGCATTTCTCAGTTTTGGTTGTCTTGTTGTTTTCCAGCTTTTTGTGTCTCCGGCCTTCTCCCCATATAAAGGGAAGGGTCCTTTCACCAACCATACCCTGCTCAGTGAATCTTTTTGGGTTTAATTAGATATGAGAAAACAGTTGTAGACATGCGTCTCATAAACAGACATTGAATGTGTCGTATTGCAGATTTGCTGCTTCTGCTCCTTCACTCCCCCCTGAACTTCAATGACTCAACAGGCTTACGATAGGAGGTCAAATATGCCTTTGTTGGATAACCGGGTTAATTGCCAGAAACAATAGCGAAACATGTCAACCGGATTAAAGAGCAATAAGAAGGGACACTCCGGTGACCTCATCCTGAACCAACCACTTTCCCCCCCCCCCGAGGAGAGAGAGTGCAGATGTCCTGGAAGCATCGCTAGGCCCAGAGTACCCGGGAAAGGAGCTGTGCTCATACATCCTGGACCAGCCGATGGGTTCACAATACTGAAGGAACTTAACCTTTCCTCCAATTGTCTGATTTCTTTTACAGAACAACCCAATCCAGAATATATTTCCATTAGGGCAGTTATGGGCAAAATTGCCTGCCAGCTTCTTATATCTCCAAGAAAATCCAGTGATGGGGGCTCCCAACAGGAGTCTTGCCTCTCACCCCTTCCCAATAAACCACACTGGGGGGGGATCGCGTTCTTGCAGTTCTACTTTACGGCGAGTCAATCAGAGAAGCACGACGCCATCATTTGGATTTCCAATATCTATGGAAAGTGGTCAGCAATGGGAACACCTGCGAGAATATTTCTCCAACTCCGTCCTCAGAAGATGCAGCAAACTTGTTTCTGTTTTATTCATTTATAAAAAGTAACAAAGGAAGCACCAAATCCGCCCACGCAGGGGATAGAATTACCGGCATAAGTACAATAAACCTAAAATATGGTGCGAAGAAAGAAAATCAGCATTAGTTTTCAGCTAAAATGAATTGGAACACCATGAAGGGGAACACCAAGAAGGGGAACACCATGAAGGGGAGGTCCAGGAAAGCTCCACGTGGCTAATCGCAAACCTGGACACACTGAGTAACAGACAACTGGACGATAGGCCCATGTAGAGACCGAAAGACGAACAGAGTCCCATCAAGAGAGAGTAAACAGGGAAGAAGAGGCAAGGCCAAAAGGGGGATAGGGTCTTGAGATCATCAGGGGGCCAATCATCGGTGGTCCCACACTATGTGGTAGGAGGGTAGGAAAGGCATAGGACAACCACGGTTCCCAAATCTTTAAAAACTTGGCATTGGAGTTGTCGAGGATGGTAGACGTGTTCAATAGGCATCAAGGCCATCAAGCGTCTCGCACTCCCTGAAAGGGAACCATAAGTTTGTGCAAACTAGTTTCAATTCAGAATCTTGTCCCCAACCACATATTGGATGGCATTGCCATTTTACGTAACCGTATACCAATTTCAATCATGGCAACTGGCATGTCAGTTGGGCCGTTCAGTCTTCAGCAGATTCACTGACTTTAGGGGGAAAAAAGGGGTTGCATTATTTATTATTGAACAACTGTTGGTCCCTGAGAATGTTCACCAACTACTTCATAATCAGTTTACGAGGGGCGTTCAAGTCAAACCGGGACTTTTGAGTTTATATAATAAAAGAACAAATTTCAATGGGTGGAAACTGCATTTATTTTTCACCATTCTCCCCTGCTACATTTATACACTTATCCCAGGATAACTAAGGCCTGGAAAGTTCCGGCATAGAAAGATTTGTCAGGACACCTGAACCATCTTAGGACAGCCGCCTTCACCTCCTCATCATTGTGTTCACGGTTCCCACAGAACCTCTGGTGCCATTTCACGATCGATGATCCAGGATCAGGCGTTCCACACACTGCATGTTCACAGGAATGACTTGCTGTGCTTTGGGAACCGCCACGGCCAGGGATTGTCACTGATGGACAGACCACCATCTTTGAAATGTTTAGATCATTCAAACATCTTACTGCAGCTGAGCATCTCATCACCGTCCCATGCTTGAAGTCTTCTGTAGATATTCGTGGGTTTTACACCTTCGTTCACAAGAAACACCATCGCCACACGCTGCTCCACGCACGCACTAACACTGTTGTCTGCCATCTTGATTAACGGTCTCTGGACTGGCCCGCCACATGTGCCCCGCCTATCGGTAATAGGACACACTTCCTGGTTACTACTACGTGTAGTACCGCCACGCTAGCATCCCTTTCTATACCCAGAAAATGAAAAGTCCCGGTTGACTTGAAAGCTCCTCGTATAATTGGATACATCCATACATCTATCCTAAAGGGGAAAACTACAAATCCTGGAGGTGTAAAATGTATACCTCCAGCATCTGTATACCGTGAGGAGCTGCACATCTGGCTGAC